AGGTTTCCAGATGGATATGGGGAGCAAATCCATCTGGTGGAGTCAGGTTAATTAAAACCACCTCTCCCAAGCTGAAAATCTGGATCTGATTGGCAGTACATGAACTCATCATGGGAAGATTAAGTTATTTTGTAAACAAGTTTTGTGCCTACGAGTTTCCATCCCTGTGGTCTCTGTCTATTCAAAATGCAATGAACTGCTTTTTATTGGTCAAATAAAAGGTTGAGAACTGTTATTGTTTATAAAAAAAAAGGATTTGATTGAAGAATAATTGCAAAATTTAAGCAGGCTCTCAAGGATGATAATTTTCTGTCAGATTGGGACAATAATGTTTAGCAACTAAAGCTACTAATCAGTCTGTTGTGTAAAATGTTAAACCAATATAAAATGGCAACATATTCCCACACAGGTTTGTCTTTACAAAACCAAATACTAGAAAAAAGTCTGATGAGCAAATGTTAGTTTGAGATGATCCACATTAGGAAACATTTGCTACTCTTTCAGTATCATTTTCGCCTACATTTCTGCTGTGTTTCACATAGGAAGGTGGTTTTGTTTCTCTCCTGCTTTATGTTCTGTGAAGTTTATTCAGCTGCTGTAAAAGGCCTCATCAAACAGAGACTATTTACTTTTCTTTATCTTCACCGATCATGCAAGACAGCTGAACAGTAAGAAGTCAACAGCCCATCATTCTCTGGGTGGACTTGATAACTGGAAAGGAGGTTACATAAGCAGTCGTGCAAGTCGTGATGTGCAAGACCTGTAATATATAATTTAGCCCTGTTGACAGGAAATATATTCCCATAGAGAGGAGTTTTGTCGTCCAACTTGAGAAGAATCAAGAGAAGAGCTGATGGGGTGCGGGCAGTTGGGGCTGGAGGCCATTGGGTTTGATGACAGGTTGCAGATCTTCACTCGTTCAGTGAGCCCGGTAACTCATTGGTCAGTGTGTGCCAGCGTTCTATTTTTTTGTCCTTGTTTTTGAGGCAGTCGAACCAGTGCTTTAGCCGCTCTCCATTCGCATTGATGCCCAGAGATACTCCACCTAGAAGACAATGTACAGATAGGATGTATCAGATAAAGAGCAGATAAAGGAAAATGTTTCATGTTTTATATATATATATGTTTTTCATCCTCACTCCATGTTGGGATGGTCAACTAAACAGAACAAGGTTGGGATGCTGTTTGTTCTCACAGACTAATTACATGATTCT